ATTAATATTATTATTAATATTACTATTTATATATTTTTTAATATTAATTTTTACATAAGTAAAACAAAATTATTACGATACTATTTTATAGTAAAAACACTGTATAATAATTACTAACAATGTAACTGACAAAAATTTTATTGAAATTGTGAATTCAAATAAAAACTTTCTCATAAAAAAATGCTTGATCGTGCACTGCTACAATTAATTTTCACGATATATATATTGATCTTCACATATTCCCATGTAAGAGTAGCAAGTAAAGAAAGTCCTTTCATCAATATATGGAATCGAGACTCACGGCGAACAATCAAAATGTAAGAACAGATAGAGTATGTAGGTGACATAATCCATGTTCTCTCTTTCCTTTTCTTTCTTCTTCGTATTTTTCACGCTCTTGTTGCATGAATACATACACACGGCCATCGTATGACGTCGTTCAATATTCTTACATTAATTTCAAATCATAAATCAATTTTTCGTGCCCTTCTGCCATTCTAGCTGACACAATGATCCGCGACATCCCCTGGTAGTTCAAGAGCTCTTCAGAATACAAGTCATGAAATTGCAGGCCCGTTCTTTTTCCATATCCTAAGATTGAACTTGTATAGTTCATCTCTCTTCTTTTTTTCACATTAGAGAGAAAAAGATAAAAGAATTGTGCACGAAGTTCAATTCTGGAGTATGGAAAAAGAACAGGTTCATCTTAAGAGCAATCTGGGCAATGCCCTGCAAATTAGAAAACGGCGTTTTACTAACATCGTCTTTATTAGTCCTCGCACAGGATTTTACATATCATCTAACGAGTCTTGCGAACTATCGCACATGGAGTAACATCGATTATAATTAATTCTCATTGGAGTTATACAATATATGTATATAAAAGAAAAAACGCGATTAATGTCGCGAGGACGCGATTAATGATACTGTAAAATTAGCCATCAAAACATCATAAAAAAAGAAAGAATAAAACGTTTAGACAAACAACACGATAAATGTGTACATAATGATCACGCGGCGAACTCGATTTCGCGTCTATCGCGTCTATTGTTATTAATCTCTTTTTCGTGACACAATGAAAAAAAGGCCACTTCTGCGCTCCTAATCCTTCCGGATCAATCTCTTTCGTGAGATTCACGAAAAGAGAGAAGACTGAAATAAATAATTCAACTGTCACACACGTAACTGTTTACTTTCAGAATTATTTATACTTTACGTATTCCGGAAAATTCTCGGTGTACTCCTCTACGTTAGAAATATCGTAACTGATTACGACTGACTACGTGACGTACAGGGGGGGGGGGTAACAATCCTTAATTGTATATCAATTTCCTTGAGGGAATTTGCAGTTTGAGAGAAATACTTCATGTCAATCATTCAAGCTTTATAATTGAAAAAGTGTCTTTCATTACAATAGTTTCTTTTTCAAAAAAAAAAATTAAACGAGAGTTGAAACTCGAGTCTTTCAACAATTGGAGTTAAATTTATAGAAGAATATATATATAAATTTATAGAAATATTAATTCTTCTTACTTGATTTCGAGAAAATTACAATGGAATTGTAAGGCATTTATAAGATTTTCTTTAATTTAGTATTCGATTAATAAAATTTTTTATCCGATTTTTTCTTGCACTTCTAGATTCTTTTCCCCATAAAGAATTGACATTTAATTAAGGCGCATCCTACATATGTATATATATATATGTATGTATTTATATATATTTTTACGAAATAATACGCGAATCACATAATCGTGCAGTTATCATCATCGAGCTAACGTTATAACACGGAGTAAACTTATTTCTACTCGGGTTGGGCAGTACTTTATACATTTATACAATTTCCTATAAACACTTTCGAGTCTCCTTAGTTGCGCAAAAATATACTCTAACGATTAAAACAATTACATTACAGGATATAAAGTTCGCACGTAAATGCAAATTCTTCGAATTTCGCTGCATGAAGTATCTTTAGTATACATTACAGATTGCACTGATAAATAGTGTAAAAAAATAGTGTAAAATTTTTCGAGATTCTAGCCAAAGAAATTTCTAGCCAAAGAAACAATGTTTTTTTTCCATATATAGCAAACATAACGTAATACGAGATATAATTTAATATATGCGATATATTATGAATTGAACTAACAATGAAGAATAAATAAAAAATTTATATATGACCTATTTCGCTTCATCTCGGAATTACTACTTTTGCATCTCAAACTATTACAACTGATTGCCTCGAAATGGTTACGAATGTTCAGTTTCGTATCTGCATAATTTTGCTGATTAAGAACGACGTTCGTAGCATTTTATGTCATTCCACAGTTTGCTCTTCTGAAAAAAAAAAAACATTACATTCGAACAGCATTCGAAATTCTAGTAGCTTGCCGCTTTCCAATATTTGCCGAGAGCTTTTCTTTATCTTGAAAGTGACATCGGAAAATTATCGCAATACAGAAGTAGCAAATTTGCATATAATGCATCTATATAGCTGATACAACAAAGCGAAATAGATCCATGTATAGATTTCTCTCTTGTTTCTGCACGAATTCTGAATTCATCTCTAAATTATATCTTACATATCAACTAATATCCCGTACATTGTTATATAAATAATATTGTAAAAAAGGTTAAAAAAAAAAAGGAGTTAATGCAAGCGCTATGATACTGACGTTAAAGGCACTTGAGTTTCGGAATTAGCCTAACTAGCAAGGTTCTTAAAACATGATCGCGATAAAATTCCGACTTCGTAAACAATTAGCGCGTTTCACACGCGCATGCATCCGAAATGCAGTCTATGTTATATGGCAGTATTAAGTCGTTTTTTACAAATATCTCAACAAAAAATAGAGCATACCGTATATATATATATATTTTTTTTTTAAATATTAGTTCCTTTAAATAATTATATACGCTAAAATGTTAGCTTTAGATCTTGTTATATTGTTTGAAGCTTTCGTGTAGTTCAAACTCTAAATTTCGAATCGCGATCGGCATTCGCGATTATTTGCAAATTATTTGAAATCGCATTCCGTCGCAATTACGATGCAATTCTTTTTTTTAAATCTCACGTTATCCTTTTTTTCATTTTGAGACACGTTATTTCCCGGCATAGGTCGGATTCTTGAAGGTGGAAGTCGCTTGCTTATAGATTGGATTCTCTCCCTATAAAGCGAGCAAAACGAATTTTTTTATATTAATTTGTAAAGAATAAATCTTACAAAAAGATTACTAATACTTGAAATTTTGATAATTAATCTCATTGTATTAATCTTTTTATGTTACTTTACTTTTTTATATTTTATTGCATTACGAGTCCTTTAATGCCTTTTCATTTTTTAATTATACTTTTTCAAAAAAAAAAAACTACAAACTTATCCTGGTATTCAAGATTTTTATTTTTGATAAAAATTGATTTGAGAAGTTTAATTCTTAAAAGCTCAATCTGATTGTGGCTTATAATATTAGATTATACGAACCGTGTCCCATTTCGCCATCATTCTCTCCTTTTCAAATCGGGCAAATTCTCGTCTATCGTGTATAGTTGTCAGCAGCTTCCACAGCAATAGCAATGCAAGACCGATCAAGACCACCGCCGCGATCACGCCTAGCACGATGCCGAGCATGTAGACCTGCGGCGGGCACTCACGCTCATTTTGAGCGCGCACTTGCAGGCAATTGGTCTCATTGTAGTAATAGACGAAGTTATACTTGCAGTCGTCCTCGTCCGTGCCGAAGCATGGCACCTCGTCGTTGTCCACATCGACGATCACTGTCTCGACTCCCTCAGGTACAAATTCCTTGCAATTCCTCGCGCATTCCTCTGGAACGCTGTAGTTTCCGGTGCCGTACATTTGACACTGTACACAGGGCTTCAGTTCTTCACAGCGACTTGGGCAGGTCGGGCACTTATTGCAGTGTTTACCGGAATACCGAATATTGCCTTCCTCGTGACAGATGCACTCTCCGCAAATACAGTCACCCTTTATAAAGAAAAAGATGAAATCTTATGATAAATCTCTAATTTTTATAATATTTCTAAATTAAAACTAATTAAATTATAACTAAATATTCTCTTTTTTAATGATTAATGTGTAAATTAATGTGTAAATAAATTATTATATTTCACTGTAATTAAAATTATATTAGAAAAGAAGAATTAAATAGTAACTGCAGTTTTCTGTCGTCAAATACTTTCAATCACTTACATGACCTGAGCAGAGTACACCGTTCGTAGTCCCTGGTGCAATGCAAGAATCATTAGAAGACCTGCAGTTGCAGGATGGTCCGGTCCAGCCAGAATTACAGACACACTGACCGCATTCGCAAGTGCCATGATCAGAGCAGAGCTTACCTTGGTCACGATCACAAGAGAAATTGTCGCATTCGCAAAAATGTCCCGATATTATCTATAAGAATATAAATTTACATCGCAAATATTCTCCATGTGAATATTGTTAATTACATTTATTCCATTTTGTTTCACTTCTAATTATATCTATCTTCTTTTCTTTGCATTTTCTTATATATATTGTATTTCTTATATATCTTCCACTGTGTGTAACTGTTACTTGAGATAATAATTAATAAGCTATTAAAAATAAATAAATAAATTTTGCAATTATAGATGCAAAGATTAAAAAAGGTCATATCAATGGAGACTCAAAAAAAAGATTAAAGAAAAATGCCTGTCATACAAGAAGTTATCTGCTAGAGAATTCAGGAAATACCTCGTCCGGATTCTCCCGCTCTTCGCACTCGCATTGACCGCAGGCGCACGTGCCACGACCAGAGCAGTCGACGAGGGAAGTATTGTCAGGACGACAGGACTGGAAGTGCTTGTCGAAGCCAGTGAGCTCCTGGTGTGAGCTGC